TTTGGTGTTTTCGCAATATTGATTATGTTACTGCTATGTGCCGTGATGCCTTTTTGCCGGTAATACCGAGCTGCATATCTTGGAGCAGCTGGGTGTAAGAGTTGGCGATTAATCAATCCGCCGTGCTAGCAAGGTTGTTTAAGGTTTGCCGACCAAGAGGCATCGGTGCCTTGGTTTGGCCTGATCGGCTCGGTTGGTCTTGCCGTGCCCGAAACAGCCAGCCACCAGCAAAAGTCGAGAAAATTCTGCCGTTCTTTTGCCCCCAGCGTTAGTACTAACCTAGAAGGTTTCTAACCGCTTTTCAGAACGGGACCCGCGGTCAGCAGAAGAGTCACTTCGTTGCCGGGTTCGGGCACGGAGCATATGCTTACTGTTCGCATGTGAGAATGGAGCTCAACGATAACGCACATGCGTTGTAAGATGAATGCTGCTGGTCCACTTATACTCTTGATGTCTATAGATTGGCTGGTGCGAAGATACTGTGACTCTGCAGCCCAATCATTGCCTATCAGTGATGACGGATGGATGACGGGGACCCCCCGGGAGGATCTCTTAATAAACATGGGGGGTGCATGAGTTGGGGTAGGATACCTACAAGTGGTAGCCAGAGACTCACATAGGGCCGCCTTACCGGGCTGTCACGGCCAGCTGGCTGGCTCTCCAAATGTCACCTCGCCTGCCGGAGGTGTGAGGGATGCAGCAAGGCCACACACAGACCGCCCGTTCAGGCGCCAACAGCCAGAACAGCACTTTCTTCGCATCTTCACGACGGATGGAGAGTGAATGATGCTTGCGGGTGGGACCCAGGTGGTGCAAGCCCCACTAACACTGACGAGTACCTTCTGTTCCAGCTTTTCCTAATCCCCAGTAATTGCCAGTTGCCCGCAGTACTTACAGGCAGGAAAAGCTGCCGTCCATCCCACCAACACCATCATCCGGCACTCTTATCCTCCAGCTTTGTCCGCTGTTGCCGCTCGTTTCTTTCTTTCTCCTCCCTCCATCCTCCCCCCTCCCCAACGAATTTGCCAGCATTGGGCCAAGGCTCCCCTCGACAACATGGCCTTAGCCCAGTCAGACCAAGAACAGCAGAAGGACGCCTCTGGTACGTTGCTATCTTCCCGACCCTTCCGAATCAATTTGACCTAAATGCCCCACCATGATTGTCGCAACTTCTCTTGCGATATCCGCACCTTGATATCTTGTAGTATCGTGTTGCTCACCAGGCCTTTTGAATAGTCCCCGAGGTGCCCAAGCAAAACGACCAGTCATTGGGCGTCAATGCGCCGTCTCAAAATGACGTGCCCGCTGTTCGCTTCTCCTCGGCGGTCGAGGAGATTAACCCAGGCCCAACACCATTAACGAGCCCTCCAGAGGAACCAGCGCAGAGTCAGGAACAGGAACCTCAGCCGTCAGACTCTGTCTCAGCCGAAGATTTGAAAGATGTTACTCGATCGCTACAAACTCTTCCGTTACAGGAACGCCGCATCAATACCTATCACTTCGAACCGTTTTCTTTACCACCCTCAAGAGTACGTCTGCCCCAACAACCCAAGGCACAAGGGTCCTCAATGTCCGTGCCATCATGCCAAGTTTTTCTTTTTCGCAAGCCCAATTTCTCGGGTCAGCGCTGCCTTTTTGTATACTCCTTTTCTCAGCATGTGCACAACGATAAAGCGTCCTGATTTTTGCGCCTGTATTTCTTTCGATTGACTCGTCGTTGTAGGTTCCATCAAGAGACGAAGATTCACCCGGCCACTCGACGCTTCCTACGCCTTCATCCGCACAGTTCCCCCAATCGCCTCATGGCAGCCCGAGGCTGTCAGCAATGGCATCACCGCCGCTCACTCCAGCAGGATCAGCTCTTTCCCCAGAGAAGGAGAAGATGAAGCCATCTCTTCAGGTTGCACCAGTCGACGATTACCAGTCAATCACTCCCCAACCCTCATCATCAAACGAAAAATCCCCTTCGCTGAGCCAGCGAGCACCTCTCGCACACCGACCTGCATCTTCAGACCAGATTTTTAAGCGATCTGCCTCCGCCGAGGAAAGGCACCAGGAACTCACGTCACACCGAAGAGGTCTTATGGGTAGGCCCGCAGGATCTGTTCCCGTGTCCCGAGAATCGAGCCCTTCGCGCATTTCAGCCTCCAACTTTTATTCGAAACCGATGACTCCCGGCGGAGATGCGAACGATCCGTATGCCAAGGGCCGGCGGCCACCTCAGCAATCTGGGCGACACTCGATTGACCCTCGCTTCATTTTCACGAAGAAGAAGAAACAACATGCGCCATCTCCAAGCTCCTCGAAGATGAGCCTGACGGAAAAGCGATCGTCTGGTATTTTTGGAAAGAGTACGAGCGACGACACTGCCAGCGAACGGGGTGTGCCCACCACTCAACACCATGGTCATGGTCACCACCAGCATGGAGGAGGGCATGGCTCAATGGCAGACCTAAAGCGGTTTTTTAAGAAGGGAGGCAGCCATAAAAAACGGGAGTCCAAACAAGTGGCCACCCCGTACTCGTCTACAAACGGCCTAAACACGCCCCCCGGTGCCCGGTCATCTACACAGCTTCCGTTTGGAGATGATCATGGACTGTCCTCCAAGTACGGTAAGATCGGCAAGGTGTTAGGTTCCGGGGCTGGTGGATCTGTGAGGTTGATGAAACGTAAGGATGATAATACCGTGTTCGCCGTCAAGGAGTTCCGTGCTAGACATACCTATGAGAGCGAGAAGGAGTATAACAAGAAGGTGACGGCGGAGTTCTGTGTGGGGTCAACTCTGCACCATGGCAATATCATCGAAACTCTTGACATATTGCACGAGAAGGGACGGTGGTACGAGGTCATGGAATATGCGCCGTTTGACCTTTTCGCGATTGTCATGACAGGGAAGATGTCACGCGAGGAAATCACTTGCTGCTTCTTACAGATCCTGAATGGTCTCACATACCTTCATAGTTTGGGCCTGGCTCATCGCGATCTCAAGCTGGATAATGTGGTCGTCAGTGACAAAGGGATCATGAAAATCATCGACTTTGGTAGCGCCCATGTCTTCAAATATCCTTTTGAAACTGACGCGGTTCCAGCCAAAGGTATGCCACATTCCCCACGCTGGACAAGAAGTGTGCAGAACTAACCGCTCTCTAGGTATTGTTGGCTCTGATCCATACCTTGCGCCGGAGGTGTATGAATCTAAGGAATATGATGCGCCTCCAGTTGACATTTGGTCGCTTGCCATCATCTTCTGTTGCATGACTCTCCGGCGCTTCCCATGGAAGTTGCCCCGAATGACAGATAATTCCTTCAAATTATTTGCATCTGAGCCAACCCCTGATCATGACCCTGCGGCGTTGGTCTATAAATCTAAGCGATCGGCGGAGCTGCTTATGATGTCTCCCAAACCTGGTGACCCCGAGAGCCAGCACTACTCTGACCAGCACCACCACGATTCTCATTCGCACCATCACAAGCGCGGCGAGTCTACTGCAACCAAGGCTCCAGAGCCTGAGAAGACCGAAAAAACTGAAGAGCCGGAGAAGACCGACAAGGCTGAAACGACAGAGAAGTCCGAAAAGACTGAGAAGAGCGCGAAGGCAGAAAAGACTGAGAAGGCAGAGACCCCCTCATCGCAGCCTCAGCAACCGTCGGGTGAGAAGAAGGAGGTCATAAGAGGCCCATGGAGAATTCTGCGCTTGCTCCCTAGAGAAAGCCGGCATATTATTTGGAGAATGCTCGAAATGGACCCAAAGAAAAGAGCTACCATGGATGAGATTTTGGCCGAACCCTGGGTCGCAGATACTATCATCTGCCAGCAGCTGGACAGCGGAGAGGTTATCCCAGCTTGCGACCACGAACATGTGCTGGAGCCACCCAGCGCCCAGCCACAGCCCAAACCATAGTTCCCTGCACATATATGATGTTGTCCGCTCTCTTCGTGGCGGAGGGAGATAATTGTAGGATATTCAGCGACGGGAGTATCATACTGGGAACAGTACCCTTTGGAAACGATTTGATGCCCCCTTTTCCTTTTACTTTTCTTTTGGTTTATTGTTTGGGTTACAACGGCAGAATGGGATGACAGACAGCAGCGGTTCGTGTGGCGCAATATTGCCTAGATAGGTGCAGACATTCATTCTCCTCAGGGAGTCATTACACAACATGTGGTTTCAGAAAAGAGTATATAGGGGCATGAATAGACACATTAGCTTTACGCGTACCTGGTATCATCATTGACTGGACCACAAGAGTATCAGCTCGAAGTTGGAAGTGAAGTGCAGTCTGAATCGCGGAATCACATGGCTCGTCAAAGAAGCACAACGAGAGAGGGATTCGTATTCAGAAGCAGTGAGGATCACTGTGCCCCGTCTTCGCCTGTCTGAGGCTTTCGCACTTTGGATGATCGAATTCAGTCACACGAGTCTGGGGACTAATCAATGGTTTCGTGTATGCAGAAGGCGAAATTGGAGGATAAGATCTGAGACATGGCTCTGGCAAGAAGTAGAGGCTGATTACCCGATTCGTAAGCTGGATTGGAAATGATGTGTGTGGTTGATCCTGCTGATCTGCCGAGGCCAAACCCGAACAGCAACTGATTGGCCTCCTGCTGAGACGCTATGCCAGTCTCAAAGGCATTACTAACTAAGAGAGACAAGCACAGGTTGGGAAAGAACGGCCTTCTATGAAAAGATATATCCTTATAGTTTCTGAGACCTTTTGACCCGTACGAGAGGCTCTCTTGAGGAGTACAGGCCAGCGGCTGAACAAGGTGGGGGTCAATGTCCGATCTGATCGCGGGGAAAAGTTGCTGGGTGATACCGGAGCCGGGGAAATCCGATCCCGAGGTGGTGGGAAAAAATTGTCTGGGCTTTCTGGAAGCTGTTGGAATAGAGCTCCACTGCCGAATAGCTTCAGTCAAATTCCTTTTCCTTCTTCCGAACTTCGCTCCTCCGCATCAGCATCAATCCCGTAACTCGTTACACTACACAACCACCACCACAATGGTACGTGCGAACCACTCAACCATTCCTACCAATTCGTCCCCTCCGCCTGGGAGAGCCGGCCGGCGAACTTCCCAGGTATCGCCGGCGGGCGGGCGTATCCTCGGCAATCTTTTACTTCATACGACGAAACGAACATCTGGTGGTTTGGAAATAGACTAACATACGAATTGACATAGGCCACCTCCATTCGATCCATCCGCGCCCTCGCCCCCCTCCTGGACCGCGTGTTGGTCCAGCGCGTCAAGGCCGAGACCAAGACCGCCAGCGGCATCTTCCTGCCCGAGTCGAGCGTCGAGAAGCTCAACGAGGCCAAGGTCCTGGCCGTCGGCCCCGGCCTCCTCGACAAGAAGGGCAACCGCCTGCCCATGGGCGTCGCCGTCGGCGATCGTGTCCTCATCCCTCAGGTAAAAATGCCCACACACCGATCTTTTCGGAAGAATCTATATGGCACAGCAAAAGGAGGGGGAAAGCGGAACAATGGCTTTTCTGACAAGATTCTTATTTTCCCCTCCATGTGGATGCTACCGATTGGATGTATATGGGGACCTTGTACTAATCCTGTATAGTTCGGTGGTTCCCCCGTTAAGGCCGGTGAGGAGGAGTACCAGCTCTTCCGTGACAGCGAGTAAGTTGATTCCACACCGGTGTATTATCTTGGCACTGGTATACACGGACATGGGAGCACAAACTAACCATGTGTTTCTGCAGGATTCTGGCCAAGATCAACGAATAAATACGATACCCTACCGCCCCGTGTACCATAATGTACCATCTAGTATTTCAGGAGAATATAAAAAAAGCTAAAAGACATGACGACGTGGAGGTCCAATTTCGTTGCCCAGGACTGGTGTGTGTAATGTAAGGTTCATGGGCCATGTGCAAGGAGGGAAGCGTCTCGCTTGGAGAACCAACTGGTCTATGTGTATAGAGGAAAACCTGCTGTTACGAAATCTCCACTCATGTCTGGTCACAATTCCAGTTACTGCCACCTCGCTCTATTCGTCCGGTCCATGACGTGAATCAGCGCATCCTTTCGGGCACAAAAACAACATGCTGTGCATCGGGACGCCCCCTTGTTTTACGTGGTGATCAATGGGCCACTAACCTCAGGATACGTGGTGGTGCGTACTCCTCGGGAGAAGAACCATAGCACGAGTCGGGTGCGTCTTGTCTTTTCCCATGTCTTGGCTGCATCCGCATGGACCTCCGACGTGCTATTAAGCTCCTGCTTACCAGCAAATCTCGCTCCAGGCCAATCGGTCAATTATTGGCGCCCTCGTTGTGCAGGTCGTTATGCAAGGCACCAGAACCACCACACCAAGTGGAAGTGCACTTTTCTTTTTCTTGCGCTTTGTGCTCCCTCTGCGTTTTCGTCCAGCCATCCCCGTCTGCCAATCGTGGAAGCGCCCCGAAATACGTTGGTTGCGCAGCCTAGATTAATTAAGTGTCTCCGTGGGCGTTTTGCTATAGCCCCCCATCTCGCCATCCTAGACACGATCACTGACATGGGCAACGGTTCACCATGGGGCGATCAGTGGCCTGGACATTCCGGAAAAGGCACAACGTGTCGGCCGGATGGGCAGGCCCCTCTGTGGGTGATGTGAGTGAATGGGCATGACCGGACGAGAAGCAGGGTTATCGCCAAGAGGATCAGGAAATTCGTGACACTCGCGCCGGGCCACTCCAGCGCCAAAATGTTCAGCTAAGGGGTAAAAGACGCCGCGCTTATGTTCCGAACAATAAGCTTGTTGGCCCTGGGCTGGGGCCGAGCAGTCGCACCACTGCAGGTCGCCGCCCGCCAAGAGTGCTTGGAACTGCCGAAGCGCGATCCTCTTGCGTTTCATGTGCTCTCACCAAGGCTCCTCGCCGGGGTCCGCCATTGGGCTTCCGTCCCAACCTGCATCTTGGTGCGAGTCGGCTCATTTCAAAAAGCCTTGGAAGGGCAGAAGCCACTGTTTTATCGTGCTGGGGATCCCTTGTCCGATGTATCTGCCTTTTTTTAATTTCCTCGTGGCGATCCTCTCAACTCCCGCCGCAGGTCATGGCGGCTGGATCTATAAGATGGTCATGGCGACCACCCACTCATCTCTTCCTTGTCTTGACCCTTCTGTTCACGGGCAACCTCACCACTTTCTTCCGGACTGTCCTTGTCTGAGTCCTTTTCATTCATTCATTCTTATCTTTTGTCAAACACTCTTTCAACCATTCACTCCTTGTTGATCAAAGGACTTGACGTTCTCTCATCTCGCCGAGTTTCTCATTCACTTACAGCTTGAAGCTGCTGCTTGTTATACCAAACCCTGCCTGAGCTGGTCTGGCTTCTTGGACATCCAAACTCAACAACAACAACTACTCCAATCCGGAAAGAAAGCGTTCTCGAACAACATCTACCATGAAGTACTTCTTCACTGCGCTGAGCTTGGCCTCCGTGGCTTCTGCCCACACCCTGTTCAGCAACCTTTTCATCGACAACAAGAGCCAGGGTGATGGCACCTGTGTGCGAACTCCCTCGGACGCCTCCAAGTCCAACAGCCCCATCTACCCACTCACCGGGCCGGAGATGGCATGTGGTAAGTCTCATCCCGCAGATGCCCAACCTTGACAGCTTCTGATCGAGTGACAAAACAGGCCGTGAGGGTACCCAGACCCCCGTTAAGTACATCTGCCCCGCCAAGGGCTCATCTACACTCACCTTTGACTTCCGTGAGTCTCCCAACTATTCAAGGGCAGGTGCCATCGACGGCGGCCACAAGGGTCCCTGTTCGGTCTATGTGAAGAAGGTCAACGACATCTTCACCGATTCTGCCGCTGGGGCCGGTTGGTTCAAGATTTGGGAAGATGGCTACAACGCCGACACCAAGAAGTGGTGCACCGAGACTTTGAATGACAACGATGGCTTCCTCTCTGTGAAGCTCCCCTCTGCTCTGCCCTCTGGCTACTACCTCATCCGCCCCGAGCTCATTGCCCTGCACGCGGCTACTCAGGGCGACCCTCAGTTCTACCACGGCTGCGCCCAGGTCTTCATCGAGAATGGTCCCGCCGGTGACTTGAGCATTCCCGACGAGTACTCCGTCAGCATCCCTGGCTACGTCGACGCAAAGCACCCCGGTCTTACCTTCAACCTGTACGACGGAACCTCGCCCACCACCTACCAGATCCCCGGCCCCAAGGTCTACTACCCCGAGTCGAGCTCGAGCAATGATGTCAGCAAGACCCAGGACGCCGGAAAGATCCCAAGCGACTGCATCCTCAAGAGCGCAAACTGGTGCGCAAAGCCCGTCAGCACAGTCGTAACTGACAACAAGAGCTGCTGGGCGGCCGCCCAGGAATGCTGGGACCAGAGCAAGGTCTGCTGGGACACAGCGGCCGTCGTCGGATACGAGAACTGCAACGTCTGGGGCAACTATTGCGAATCTCTCGGCCAGAGGTGCGAGAACAAGAACTATGACGGCACCCCAGCCTTCAGCGGAAAGGAGGTCGCTCCCCACGTCCCCAGCAGTGTCCCTGCCCCGTACAACCAGCCGAGGGGAGCTGAGCCCGTAAAAGGCGGCTCTTCGTCTGCCGCCGCTTCGTCGTCCACTGCCGCCGCTGCCACCTCCAGTGCTGCCGCCGTCACCACCTCTGCCCCTGCGGCTACGTCCACAGCTGCTCCTGTTCAGTCTTCCTCTGCTGAGTCTGTCTCGACCAAGGTCGAGGATAAGAAGGCATCCTCATCTGCTCCCCCCAGCACGACGCTGAAGAAGTGCACATCCAAGGTCAAGACCGTCTGGCAGACCGTCACGGTCACCGCGGCTCCCGCGAGACGCTAGGACGCCTCGCGATTTCGCTTCGATACCCCTTGAGTATCTGGGTCCTCATGCTGCGATCCTGCTGCCTGATGGAATCTGGTAGCCTGGGTTTGGGGCTTCAGATGGAAAGGTCCGAAGGGAAGTAGGTAGTTAGGGTCCTAGAGTCTGATAGGGAGAAACTATTTGTCTGTATGTAGGAAATTTATGAACAACTTCATCATTTGATCGATCCTCTATGCCAGTTTTGCATTGTTGCAAGCCTCGTTGACGAAACCCAAGGCAAAGCCCAAGGTGAGGCGTGTTAGACTTTGGCTTTCACTACTAAGCCAGAATAGCCTAAATCTGCGAGATATCATGAACCGAGTCCGGCAAGAGACCGAGTCAGAATAGGCAGAGGATGGATGGCTGGCTCCATGTGACTTCCTTCCCGGCCTGTAGAATTCGCCTCCGCTTCCATGTTGGGACGAGGATGACGTTAATCGAGACCAGCCACACGGGGGTGGTTTTCCCATGAGCTTGTTGGGGTGAGATAGTCGAGGTACTTGTCGGGTGGCGGGAGGGATGTACATGGGCGTACCGCAGCCACCAGCCACCTGCAAAGGCCGGAAAAAACGGTTTCAGGCACCTGCTAACTTATCAGGACTAAGAGATAAGTACCAAAGCAATCATTTGTTGCATGGCCACTTGAGATTGGATGCAATGAACTGCCACGGTGCTGTAATTTAGAATCGCCAGCTCTACTTTTTAGGTGTTTCAGAATATGCGAGTGATGGACTCGAAAGGGAAAAACCGGGCTTTCATAAGGCGAATTAATTTCATAGGGAGAATCTGAAATTTACAAACGAGCATCAATATTGTTATCTTGTCATTGTACGAGCGCTGTGGGAGAGGCGGTTAACAGAATATTACGCATGTATGGTTATATGAGGAGCAAGGCTGCTATTTATAATGCCCAAGCTTACATCGAAAGCCGTTAATTGATGAACAAACAGACATCTGAGTTGGGACCACCAAAAAAATACCAATGTATCTGATGGGGTGTTGGAAGAAACCGACGGAAAGCAGCAATAACTGTGTTCTTATTGAGCTATTGAACCGGAGCAGAGAATCCGTGGCTGGCAGATGCATCATGAACAAGGTGAAGATTAAGTTCACAACGGCATTGGAATCTAGGGCTGATAGATGATAGATATGAAAATACGACGCCTATCAAAGACTCGTCATAAATAAACGAGATTGTGTCGTCCAAGCCACGCGGAGCACATGCACACACTGACAGCGGTGGATCCCTGGAGGCCAGCACTTGTCCTTGCTGTAACGGACGTGAGAGCGCCCTGTGCGGATCGCCACGGGGCACGACCAGCGCTGGACCTGGCCGCCCCAGCCCCGTGCACCTCTATCAAATTAGCAGCCACCCTAAGTTTTAGGGACTTGTCGCCAGCAATGGGACTTGCCGCTACTTGTTGCCTGCCCGGACCAGGTACTGCCCGAGTAGTGCTGCCTTGGTGCCTCCGTCTTGCCTTCCTGACTCTTGCCTCCAACCCAACCCACTCACCGGCTCCCACGTCCACCGCCCACCGTACATACAGTTAGGTGACCTCAAACGTCCGACCTCCCCCAGCCCACCTCGCCTAAGTCGCACCTTGTCTTCCAACTTTCTCGAATCTTTTCTCTCCGCCGACGCTGCGAGACCTCGAAACGACTGCGGCATCCCATCATCCACCATATTGCGACACTTAGTATCTTATCGTCCGCCGACTCCCCTCGCCCAAAATGTCGAGTAATCGTAACTACGATTTCTTGGTACGCCCAGCCCGCTCCATCTGTCCCAAACCACCCATCCATTCCCCGTCCCAACGCCGCATCGCTGCTCCCCCTCGGCTCTGCTGCGAGCATTTCCTGCCCACATGCCGCACCAGAAACCCCCCCGAAACCATCGCGATCAGCCCATTTCTCGCTCCCCAGGCCTCTTTTGATGTCGGAAGACAATACTGACTCTCCCGCGCGCCATGCGCTCTGCCCCTATTCTAGATCAAGCTGCTCCTCATTGGCGACTCCGGCGTTGGCAAGTCATGCTGCCTGCTACGCTTCAGCGAGGACTCGTTCACCCCCTCTTTCATCACCACGATCGGAATCGATTTTAAGATTAGGACGATTGAGCTCGATGGCAAGCGCGTCAAGCTGCAGATTTGGGACACGGCTGGCCAGGAACGGTTTCGCACCATCACCACTGCCTACTACCGCGGCGCTATGGGCATTCTGTTAGTATACGATGTCACCGATGAACGATCTTTCAACAGTATGTCTCTGCAGTTCCAACACTTCTACGTATTCCACGCTTCCCCGCCTCCATCTTTGGTCCCACGAACAGGACAGATTCGGCTTTCGCAACATCCACACGATAGACAGTGACAACATGTGAATATCGGCAGGCCATGCTAACGGGAATTTCTCTTCTTTTAGACATCCGCACCTGGTTCCAGAACGTAGAACAGCACGCCACCGAGGGTGTCAACAAGATCCTGATCGGCAACAAGTGCGACTGGGAGGAGAAGCGAGTCATCAGCACAGAAAAGGGCCAGGCTCTCGCCGACGAACTTGGCATCCCATTCCTCGAAGTCTCGGCCAAGAGCAACATCAACATTGACAAGGCATTCTACAGCCTCGCTGCCGATATCAAGAAGCGTCTCGTAGACAACACCAAGAATGAGCAAGGTAGCGGCCCCGGCGTCAACGTGGGCGACAAGTCGAACGCAGGTGGCAGCAAGTGCTGCTAAATTATGATGTCAACAAGTTTTTGAGGGGGATATTGTTTTTTTTTCACGTGGAACGGATGAGATGCATGAGAGCGACAAGCTGAAGGCAGTCAATCACTGAGCATATACGCGCGGATGGTCTCCAGTCCATTCGAGAGCTAGAGCCGAGGGGACGACGGAGCAAAGATCCATCATTTTCATGTGTAGGATTCGAGCTCGCTACACGGAGAGGGATATCCTTCAAGCGAGCGCGTGTGTTGTTGATACCTGGTTTTTTTTTTTGGGAGGTGACGGCGAGGCGCCAGCGTCGCGGGCGGCTTGGGAGGGCGACACCAAGATGAGGCGCGCGGGCAAGGTCATGTCTTAATATTGTGTCTCCCGCCCCCAGCTGGTCTCTGTTCCTACTTCTTTAGAGAGCAAATAAGGTCCGGAGTTTCTGGGTTTTGATCTGGGACTAATATACATTCCTACAATATGTGGTTTTTCTCAGAATGATTCGAGTAGGTGGGCCTTATATCAGTGATGCAGCACTGATATGGGTATCGCGTGCATGTCTATGTGCTTATGATATATACAAATATACGAATATACAGAATGGATGATAGTACAGTCCCCTAGTCCAGTCTCTTCCCATGATTTACCAGTTGATGAAGGAGACTTTGAGAAGGTACGGCTTGTGAAGGTCGTCATCAGGCAGCTCGAGTTGCCGCTGGTTCCAGCCCCGTTGGAACCTCCTGGCCTCCCACTCGTTGGGAAAGGCCAGGACGAAGCGGCCTCTCAGCGAGTCCAGCACATAACTCTCCAGCTTCGACGTCGTCTCCGACGATGTCTGGGCGGTGGAGGCGTCCAGTAGCGAGACCGGGAACGGCGTCTTCCACCGCGAGTCCCGCTTGTCGCCGTCCCTCAGAATCGCATCGTGCAGATCCTCCGCCGCGAGGTCGGGAGGGTCGGCGTGGAGCAGGACGGCGGCGGGTCGGGGCCCGAAGTCCTTGGTGATGTTGTCGCCCAGGTGCTTCTCCCAGCTCTTCTGCGACGTCCTCGTGCGGGAGACGAGCAGGTCCTGGGAGGGGGGGAGGAGGGAGTACGACTCCAGCTCCTGGTCCGGGTCGACGCAGGGAGTCTCGAGGTGTTTTGGGATGGTGGCCGCCCACAGGCCGTTCTGGCTCGCGCTCTTGAGCCTGGCGAGCTGGTGGAGGCGGGTGACGTGGTCGTGGTAGGCGGCCGCGGCCTCGGAGGTGATGAAGGAGACGTTGTAGGTGCCCGTCGGCTCGAGCGTCAGCCTCTCGCGGCGTTGCTGGACTGTTTTGCCCAAAAGTTAGAGAGTTATTGCGTGGTGGTTGATGGGGGTTCCTTCACCTACCCTTTTTGATGGTGCTCCCCCAGGCAGACAGGCTCTGAGACTCGGGGGAGAGGCGGTAGAAGTCGCTGGCGACGAGGTTCTTGCTCAGGCCCGTGAAGACGAGCATGTTCTTGTGCCTGTCGACCGGTCTACTCAGCTCTTGTTGGCTGGGCCGCAAGGAACGGGTACCGGCTCCTTCGGGAGCCGTCGCTTGCTCGATGGGAGAAGGCGTGCGGCGTCTCAGGCCTGGCCATTGGACGGCCTGTTTCTCTTGCTGTTCTCCGTCTCGGCGTCGCAGGCCATCGGGCAGCTTTGGCGGGGGAGCGGAGCCGAAGGATATGAAGCGGCTACGATGGTTGGCGCATTGGCAGATCGACGCTGTCGTCGCTCGGCTGCCGGGCCATTTTGGGCGTATCATGCGGGCGGTAAGAGGGGGACGGGAGCAATCATCGAGGCTGGATGGCGTTCTGCCCGCGTCTTCTCGTTGTTGAGGAAGGGCGAGAAATCTAAGTTGGTGGTGCAGGGATGTTGTGTGGGTTGTTGTACTATGTAGCTAAAATCTGGACGTAGCCACCCAGAGACCAAGAGTTTCACTCCTCCTCAGACATACATACATTCACTATCAGGCTAGTCGCCAGTGGCTGGATAATCACGAGGGTGATATTGGATGGTATAGCTCAGATCGATACACTTATTCCAATTATAATTTTTCTTCACAATTCCTCTATCGTGGGCGGAAAACCGTAGAGCTGGAGTGGAGGGCAGCACCCACCGACTGGATGGTTGCTCACTTACAAAAATTCCGAACTACTAAGAGAATCGACCACAAGAATCTCCATTTCTATTTCTTCCCATCCACTCCAGGCTGTTGCCCCCCAGTGCACCATCAAATAGATAGAGGTACGTCTCTCTCCCATAGAAAATATAAAGATGGGAATTTTATAAAAATACATCATCTGACTTTCCGCCGTAGGGCTAGCCAAGGACGGGAAGCAATGGTCAAGAAGTCCATCGACGCCAAGGTGCGTCCGCTCTCAAACACAAGTCTCGAGAAAGCCAGCCTTCTCGGTGCGGCCCGCCTCTACGTGAGCAAGGACTCGCTCATCTCGCTCACGGGGAGCCTGGACAATGGGAAACTATGCATTGTCGAGAGGTTGGAGACGGAGGAGCCTCTTAGACGGGAGGCTGCTCTCTGGGTGTTGCCAGAGAAGAATCTCAGTCCGAATGTCGTGATGATGACTCGGGCATTCCAAGATGCCACTGGATTCAAGATTGGGGACCAGGTTCGCATATCTCTGGCCAGTGATACTGCAACGCCGGTTATCGAGGAGGTTGTTTTGCAGGAGGCAGGCGATCCAGGACAGGATGATGGTTCCGGCGCCTACCATCCCCCTGGCTGGGAGTTTTCGGTCAGTATTTCGCTAGGTAAGCCAGCTGCCAACAGGCTTACTCCTCTCTCTTTCACAAATTCTATGAAGCTGACTAGGTTCTAGACCGTGCCGAGTTCATTTTCCCTGGCATGGTGCTGGAGGGAGTCACCATCAACAAGCTACGCCGGTCGTTCAAGGTTCTATCTGTGAACTCGCAAAAGGAAAACCTGGGTAAATTCGTTCTCAGCAGTAGCAATGTACGACTCCTCGCACCTGGAGATTCGGAAGACACGGGCGCGGCTGCTCTCGCTACCGAACCCGCAGGCGATCTGGTCGTCAGCCAAGTCCCAGGTCTGGCGAGACAAGTCAAGACTATCAATGCCTTCCTGAAGGGATTTGGACGCCCGTTCTGGGTGAAGGATGAGCGCGAATCCAGTGCCTTCGTCGTCCACGGTGGCCACGGCACAGGCAAGACCTTCATCATGCAGCGCATCGCCGACACTAATTGGGGGAAAGTTCACTGGATCAAGCCTTCGGACAAATTGGTGGCCATCAAGGATATTTTCAAGCAGGCCCAGACGCAGCAGCCAAGTATTGTGTTGATAGATGCCCTCGAGGAACTCATTTCAAAGGACCGGCAAAACAGGGAGGCCGTCGTTGAGGCAATCGCCGAGGAACTGGATGCTCTCTCGGCCACCGCCAAGGCACAGAATGCGCTCCCACGTGTGGTGGTTATTGCTTCTTGTCTCGACTATATGACCGACGTCCCGCCAAAGCTGCAGAAGAGGAGTCGTTTCCGAGAGAACATTGCTCTCCCTATCCCGAGAGCCACGGAGCGTCTGGAGATTCTACATTTCTTCGACCCTCCTATCCGCCCCGAAGACAAGGAGTCATCCCTATCCAGTTTGGCTCAGAAGACACACGCATACAATGGAGACGACCTGGCCAACCTCGTCCTCAACGCAAAGAAGATTCTCGGCAACCGACTTGACGATGCTGGTGTTGACCCTGAGAATGCCGAGCCGCAGTACCTCACAAGGGACGATATGGAACAGGCTCTACGCATCACACGCCCAACAGCCATGCATGATATCAACCTTAAGCCTCCCACAATTCACTGGCAAGATGTTGGTGGCCAGGAGAATCTCAAGAAGGTCCTAACCCGCATGATCAAGAACACAAAGGTAAGCCATTTATCCCACATCTCTGCCTCAACCCCCCCTTTCGCCCGTCCCTAACCTCGTCTGCCAACAAGAACACCAATCCCGCCAGCCGCCACGTCCTCCGCCACCCACCCAAAGGCCTGCTCCTCTACGGCCCCCCCGGATGCTCGAAGACCCTATCAGCCCAGGCCATGGCAACGGAGTCCTCCTTCAACTTCTTCGCAGTCAAGGGCGCCGAGCTGCTCAACATGTACGTGGGCGAATCCGAACGGGCCGTCCGCACCTTATTCGAGCGCGCCCGCGCCGCCTCCCCCTCCATCATCTTCTTCGACGAGATCGACTCCATCGGGGGGCAGCGCAGCGGCACCGGAGGAGGAGGAGGCTCTGCGTCGTCGTCGAGAAGCAACGGCTCCGTCAACATGCTCACCACCCTCCTCACCGAGATGGACGGCTTCGAGTCCCTGACGGGCGTCCTCGTCCTCGCCGCCACCAACCGGCCGTCCGCCATCGACCCCGCGCTCATGCGCCCGGGCCGCTTCGACCAGGTCCTCTACGTCGGACCCCCCGACCAGGCCGCCCGCGAGGCCGTGTTCAACGTGCACTTGAAGGGCCTCGCCCTCGCCTCCGATGTTGATGTCCAGGCCCTCGCCACAAAGGCCGACGGCTACTCGGGTGCCGAGATCAAGGCGATATGCAACGAGGCAGGTTTGGCAGTGCTGGATAGGTACGACGAGGACGAGACCGGCACCGAGAAGCTGGAGATCCAGATGGCGGATCTGGTAGCCGCTTTGGAGAGGACGCCTCGCAACATCACGCGGGAGATGATTGAGACGTACGAGGAGTGGTCACGACAATTCAAGAAGACATGACGGTAGTTTTTTAGCTAATGAAACCAATTTAAAAAGGGATATGTGTACTATGCTCTCTCTCTCTCCCTTCCATCGCTTTCATGAAGAGGTCTTATACGTCGTTACGGATGACATTGATGCGATTACTAGACAAGAAGCTGAATTACAATGAGGGCCAAGATATAGGAGAAGACCTCGGGATCCCCTTATTTTCACTGACTCCCTATATACCAAGTCGAGTCCGTATCTCTGTTTTTTTTTCCCTTGGTCCAGACACGGCAAGTCTAGGTCCCTTGCACACTTCCCTACTTGGCGAAACAAATCTGTCGTACACTCGCTCACTCTTGGCGACTGAAAGAGCAACCTCAAACGGGGGTATATACTCCGGGACACTCTGGGCATCCCTTGTTCATTCTCCCTGATTCCTCCACCGAAAGTAATACAGTAGCCACCTATGTTCCCTGCCAGCCTGGAGGACGGGCCATTCCATCATGGCCCTTAGGTATATATGTCAAAACGAATCCATCCCTCTCTGCTTCCGTCCCGGGCAAGAGAGAACAGACCACCAATCTCTCCCCCGGGGCGACAGAGAATTAACGCCCTCCGACCTCGGTTCCTTCCATTCTCCCAGTAAGACGAGGCAGTTGTCACGAGTCCATCCAGATACAAGAGGCCGGTACTTGTCTTCTTCGTATTGGTGGACTCTTACCGTCCTTGGACGTCCAATGCCTGCCCCTGCTCTGCTTGAGAACTTGGTACAAAAGTTCAAACAACCTTAAATAATATAGCAAACGATTCCACAATTTTCCACCTTGCGCCTTCGCCAAATAAGAGTCGAAAATGTATTATAAAACGAGATATCATGAAGAGAAGTAATCATCAAATCTTTGTGGCAAAAGGTGCTGCGTAGCTCCACACACAAGATACCATGAAAGATCAAGAGTCCTCATCTGACCTTGCACCGCCGCCTGTCCTGAGTGCAGGCGACAGACTGATGGAGATCTTCGGGGCGTTATTGCCCGAAACGCCGGTGAAGGATTTGCGTCTTCGGGACACGCTGGATGAAACGGAAGCATTGGAGGCTGACGAGCTGCTGTTCCGTCTCTTGTTCTGCATTAATTTGCCAATCTCGTCGTCGTCGGCTTCTTCGCGTCGTCGCTTCTCAGCGATACGCTCTGGGGGCCCGGTCGCTGAGAGTGACGGATCGTTGCCAGAGCTGGTGCTGCTTGCGTCGTCGCCTTCCTTTTCCTTCTCGGGGGTTCCTTCGGCTTGTTCATCTGCCTCTTCATCCGAGGCATAGTCGACCAAAGGTTTGAGAGGTGTCGAAGAGCCATTGGCTGTAGACTTGCCTGCCCCCTCTTGACCGTGATCCTCTTCGTCTTCAGGGTCGGATGCCGCATTCCAGTACTCCTCCTCGGCCGGATCCATGGTGATGTGCTCCATCATTCGGTTTGTGGGTGTTGGTGGTGGCCGCCTACCCACATCTTCCTCAGCTTCCAGAAAGCAGTCTATGTTGACAGTGTATCCTTGTGTTTGATCGTACCGAAGTAGGAGATCGCGGAAAGTTGACATGTGGCCTAGGCCAAGTAGCTTTTCCCGATAATTCGACACAAGGTACTTCACTAAGTCTTTGACGTTTTCCTTTTTGATGTACTCGAAGAGTTCTAACGAGGCGGAGCTAAGCAGGTTATCTCGTGACACGGCGGATATCAACACATCGAGAAGTGGACCAAGTACTGCCTTCTCAGTCAAGTGCTTGATCAGAAATTCTTCTTGCATTCCGATCAGGGATCTGAAGAAACGAATTGCAACTAAGACAGGATTGTTAGGAGATTGGACTTTGTGAGTTGGCAAATTAGCACATACCTAATTGAAGAAACTTCTCTGAAGAGTTGAGAAGCTGACCAACTCGCTCTGCAATGTTGTTGGTTAAAACAAAATATCTGCTGAATCGATGATGCTGCCGAACCAAGAAACACATGATTTCTATAAGATAGCTGAACATGGACGCTTGCTGAGGGGAAAAATTCATATCAG